GCACCTGTGTCATCCAGTGCCCATAGAGGGCAGAAGAGAGCCTTGGATCTCTGGAATTGGCATTACAAAATGGTTGTTAGTCATCATGTGGGTGCTGGGAACTTAATCCAGGTGCAATGCTTTTAACTGCTGAACTCTCTCTCCAACCCCTTTTGTGCATATTTTAAAAAATATAGATAGAAAGATATTTTCGTATGTGAGACAGGAGAAGAAGAGGAAAGGATGGGGAAAAGGGCTGAAACTATGGGAGAGAGAGTAAAAGAAACAGATGCCCCACATTTCATTAGAGTGCACACAAGATGAATAAAAACATGGGGCAGAGTTTCTTGGATGGAAGGACAGATTTAAGACTCTAAAGCCTGATCAGGATATGCTTCCTTCCATCCTGTGAACTCAACAGAACTTAAAGGAAATTCATCCAGAAGTTAATTCTGTATCTGTTCCTTTGTGAATAAACACTTGGGGAATTGTGGTTTATTTCTTCAGCAAAATGTGAAATTGGGGAATTTCGTTTTCCTTTGAATTTTTCTGCATCAACCGTACTCTCTCCTCAAAGTGAAATTTGCATGAAGCAAATCACCATGAAGACAAGTGTTTTCAAAAATTAATGGAGCTCATCCACTGAAGTCTAGTCAGCCTATCTAGAGATAGTAAGGAAGGTCTACGGTCCCTCTTCTGGTAGTAATCAGTCTCTAACAGTTCCCAGGCTGGGGCCTGTCTGCTGCCCGTTTCCCTCACTCCACTCTGGGCCCTTGTTTGATTGCCTGACAAGATAGGACTTAACATGTGGGGCAGAAGGCATGAAGTCTGGTGTGTGTGTGTGTGTGTGTGTGTGTGTGTGTGTGTGTGTGTGTACATGGGCATGCAGATGGAAGAGGGGGTTGTAAATTTGATTAAGACCTGTATAAAAAATTAAAAAAGTTAATGTAGCATGAACACACTTGCAAAACAGGATTGACTTTACTGGCTTCAGGCACAGGAAAAGCCTCACACTTGGTTTAATGCTTTCTGTGGCCAGCTTGAACTTCTCAGTTTCTTTGACCTATGTCTTGTAAGATGAATTCTGAGGGACCATGAGGTATGCGGGTGAGCAGGGGAGTATGTGAGATGTTCGTCTGCAGTTGGTCTATACTGCCTTAGTGGCATAGCACAGACAGCACCCATGCGCACTGCATTCCGGTAAACACATACAGTTACACTGAATGCTGATCTAGAAAGGCAGGGCCAGCCTATAGTTCCTTCTCCTTTTACTCCTCTGACTTATCAGCAGACCACAGATAGTGTTGGTAGCATACGGACATACAAGGAAGGGAAATGAAACACGTGAGTTGATTTTGTGCACGGTTCCCATTGTTTGCTAAGGACAAAATACATATGCATACATGAGCTACAAAACACGGATTGTGCAATTTTGGTGTTCCGTATACAAGTAAAATGTTTTTATATTTGGATTTAAAACTGGAATTGCACAGTATAAAAATGAATGGTAAATGTATACAATAACTTCAAATTTATTTTTTTCTTTACTTAGAATGACATTAAACAGTAAAAAAGCCCCAACAAAGAAAAACCAAACAAAACAAGAAAAAAAACTCCCTTAAAATTGTAAAAAAATCCAGGATAAATTGAGAATTCAACTGAAGAAGAAAGGAAAGACTGTTTTAGCCTAGAATTCTTAATTCTTTCTGATTTTTGACTAGAGGACCTCACATTTTCAATATTTCATTTTGTGCTGACTCTTGAAAATTATATAGCTGGTTCTGTTTGGAAGTCATCTCCCTGTGAATTTTTAGTGTTGCTTCATGCGATGGATTTTGGACAAAATATAAATATTTTATGCTTTTCACGCCTTTTTGAATTCCCATGGGACTCATGGGTTTTGGGAGTAGAATTCCTGCTCTCAATGGGGCTTTTCAACAGATTCAGGAAAGATTCACCAAAAAAATAAAAGAGCTACTTTCCCAAGGTAGAAAGATAGGCTCACTACAATGACAATATACCCCATGAGATTTGGAGCCTTAGAACAAATTTTGGAAGGTCGGGGAAATGGCCATGGGGGTGGTGGAGGTGGTGGTGGTGGCCGTGGTATTGTTAAATCTGGCCTGTCGTGTGTTTTGTACAGACCTGAGTTAAGAGTGGCCATTACTTTTTAAATGGTTGAAAATAATAACCTTTCATGACACATAGAACTATTTGCAATTCAAATCTAAGGATCTGAATAAAGTTTTATTGGAACGTAGTCATGCCCAGGCTTCTGTTGGGCTCTGACCCTTTCTGTTACAGCGAGGTAAGATGACCATCTGAAATAGACCTACAATGCCTATTCACTACCTAGGCCTAACTATTTACTACCTAAATATTTGTGATATTTATTTTCATAGAAAAAGCTTCCAAAATGTTCTCTGGAAAAAGTCCTTAACATGAGCTTCATGGTGGTAGATCTTTCTAGAGACTTTTCTGGTTAGATGAGGCATGGTAGATGAGACACTCTTGGTGAAATACCAGGCGTGCGCCACCTAGCGGTGAACGTTTCAGTCTCAGGCAGGCACGATGGTATTTAAAGATTAAGCCTAGAGAATATTTAATATTGAAATGCCACGTGATGGTATTGACAGTTATTTAAAATTAGAGTGAAATCAATGAAAACATATTCCATAAGGGTCTCCCTAAGGAAAAGAAATAAATCATAACTCATTATCATCATCAGGGAATGGAAATGTATGCACACCAGCTATTTTATTTATTTGAGAACAAACACCCAGCATCCTGTAAAAGTTACTAAGAAAACAGGCATTTGGCTAAATCACTTATATTTAATAGTAGAAAGTGTTTTTATTCTCCCCGAGACTTAGAGTAATGCAGTTGTACTGGATTCTTCTCCAAATTATTCTACTCCATAATACTTCAGCTAGAAGGGAACCCGCTGTTCAGTTTTGCTGTTGGTTATCTTAGATGTCTTTTCCTCAATGGAATGGATCCTTGATGACAGAACTTTACCACGTTGATCTATCTCTTCAACCACTGTCTTTACCAGAGTGGTTTTGGATACATCTAGAGATAAAACATACATGAACACACATATTCTGCCCAAAAAATTACACGACAAAGAATTCAACTGTTGACTGTAATACTTCGTGCACATTATTGGTGACAGAGTGCATTACATATAGATTTATAACAATAGTCTGGGATATCTGGATAAAACTCAAAATACTTTTGGTTCAGAATGCTTTACTTAAAATTATTTAACTATAGTCTTTGCTATAGTGTATGGTTTTCCTTAATGTAAAAGTAGTTTCTGCAATAGAAATATGACTAGATTTTTATTACCTTTCGATGGAGTCCCTGAGCTTCCTGACTTGGAGCACGAACTGTAAAAAACAAATTTATTCTTTTATGTTTATGTTTATTATCACTTAAGAAATATCAATCAAAGTAATGGCTCTAGTGTACTTTATACACCCAAAACATCTCAGTTTTTACTATGAAGGACAATATTAAGATTTTTTATGTGTAGGAGCTAGAAGTAATGAAAAGTTATCTAAAGAGAGGATACTTAAAAAATACTTTGTTTCTATTTGACTTTTCAGAATTAAAAATTTTTTTGGTGTGTGCGCGTATGTGTGTGTGCGCATGCGTGTGTACCTGTGTGGCTGGCAGAGGCTGACATTGACAGTCTTCCTTTATTGCTCTATACCATATTTTTTGAGGTAGAGTCTCTTACTGAACCTGGAGCTCATATATAAACTAGACAGGCTGGCCAGCAAACATCCAGGCTTCACTGTCTCTGCTCCCTGCCAGCTCTGGGATTACAGGCTGATGCAACTACATCCAGCTTTTACATAGATGCTGGGAATCAAACTCAGGTCCATATGAAGCAAGCACTCAATTCACTGAGCCACTCCCCCAGCTCCTCTCATTTTATTTTTTTAAATCCAAGAATTTAAACTTAAGAAACACGTATTAGACTAAGACACACACACATATGTATTGTATGTAATTCCCTATGATCTATGCATATACATGAATCCTGGGGTGTTGTAAAGAGCACATTTACTTTGGGGCCCCAATGATACTAGAGATGAACTGAAAGAAGGATAAAATCTAGGGATGGTAGGTGTGGGTCTCTGGGCTTGAGGGCAGAGACCAGGGTCAGGAGAATCTTGAAATCACAATGATTAACACGAAAAATAATTAGAAACTTGTGCAGGGAGGACTAGAATCACCCAAGGCAAATAAGGGGGTGGGGGCAACTCTTCAATGTACAGAATGTGGAAGAGATGGTTCCAGAAGCCAGAGATGGACATGCTTTTGTGCAGTGGGACAGAAAAGAAGTACTTGCAAGTGTGGACAGCGAAGGGGGAGAGTATGGTTATGGCTGAGAATGTCAACGATGGTCTTACTTTCCATCCCCGTCTATGAGGCGGCAGTAGGTCTCGATTTCCTTCTCCAGGTGGGCCTTGATGTCCAACAGCTGCTCGTGCTCCAGCCGGTTATGGCTGAGAATGTCAACGATGGTCTTACTTTCCATCCCCATCTATGAGGCGGCAGTAGGTCTCAATTTCCTTCTCCAGGTGGGCCTTGATGTCCAACAGCTGCTCGTGCTCCAGCTTCTGGCCCTCTGTCTCAGTCCTGACCTGGTGCAGCTGTTCCTCCAGGGCATCGATCTGCGCCTGGATCTGCGCCAGCTGTGTGCAGTAGTTACCCTCGGTCTCTGTCAGTGAGCACTCCAGAGAGTGTTTCTGAGGATGTCAAAGAACCATATCAAGAGATGAAACTACTGAGGAGTACCTGGCCCCAGTTTCTCAGCAAGATGAAGGGCCACTCCCCAGGCAAGTTCAGGAAATAAAACAGGAGGTGGAGGCTGATGTTAGCCTGGTGGGAAATAGGCACTGAATGACCTGACATGGGATAACAGATGCTTTTCCCACAAGACATTTAAAAAATAATTTTTTTACATTTATTTATTTATTTATTATTTATTATTGATTGATTGATTGATTGTGTGTATGGGGGAGGCATGTGCCACAGTGCACATGTAGAGGCCAGAGGACATTCTGTGGGGATTGGTTCCCTCCTTCTAGCATGTGCATCTCCAGGACGGAACTCGGGTCGTCAGGCTTGGCAGTAAGTGCTCTTACCCACTGACCCATATCACTGGCTCCCTACAAGATTTTTGACTAATCCACTAAACAGATTTTGGTTAACATTTTCTGTCAGGACCAACATATACATGAAAGCATTTGGGGAGGACAGCACAGTAAGACATTGATGTGTGATAACATATATTCTAAAACGATATGTTTGAGTTGCCTGTTGTTTTGCAATTTTACTTTGTAGTTGTCTGAATCCCATTCCTAGGCCTGTTATGCCCGCCCTCCCTCCCTCCCTCCCTCCCTCCTTCCCTCTCTCCCTCCCTTCCTTCCTTCCTATTCTTGATTTTCTGTCATCCATCAAAGCCATCTTGTTAAAGCAGTTGAGACTGAATGATATTTCAGCAGGGTGAGTCTCAAGACCAGAACTTGTAGCACACAGGCCACTATTTCCACACTACTCTTCTGAGTATTATACTTCCTCTCTTCCCCTGCATACATTGTAATTTGTCTAGTCACATGATCCCTACTTCAATTATGGTAATTTCCTTCTTTCTCTTATCATATATAACTATATATGCCCAGGCAGTTATTATTTCTGATATTAGTTATTATCAGAATGCCTACCCTTCTTCTACCACTTCATCTTCCTTTCCTTCCTGTTGGGAGACTACTGCTCTTACATCACAGAAGATGAAGCATTTAGTAAAAGAAGATGCGAGGCTCTGTCTCACATCTTCTAGGGTGGTTGAACCCAAGTGTTCACATAATATATTTTATTTTAAAATATTTTCTTTTTATCTCTGTGTGTATGTGCACGTGTTTATGTGTACATGTGTATGTGGGCACACATGTGTGGAAGACAGAGGACACTCTTGGGAGTCATTCCGTGGGTGCTGTCTGCCTTGTTTTTTGAGACAGAGTCCCTCATTAGCTAGGGGCTCACTGATTCGGCTAGATTGGCTGGTCAGCAAGCCCCCAGGGATTCTTCTGTCTTCATCCCCAGAGCTGGGATTACAAGCACACACCACCATGCTCAGCTTTTTTACATGGGTTCTGAAGATCAAACTCACATCCTTATGCTGGCAAGGTAAGCAATTTACCATCTGAGCTATCTCCCCAGCTCCCTATATGATCCTTTTAGTGGAGTAATAGCATTATAAATTTAAAGATAATTTCATGTATTGTCAAATATATGGTGTATTGATTTCATTTTAGAATCAAGGAGGGATTTATAAGACATTCACCATAGCAGGCAGGCATGGGCCCAAAGGGGCTGAGAAGCTCAAGATTTGGACTTACACTGGCTGGGGCATTGTGTGAAAGGTGCTGAGCTCTCAAATATATGAGCAGAAGGTGATCAGGATGGTCATGGGAAGGTGAGGTGAGAAGCAGCAAGATGTCAGGAAGGGGTGTACGCCCAGTTCAGAGCTTTAATTCACCCAATGATGCATCCTCTTAGGGTATTTCTTTGTAAGATGGTTAATGATCTCGTAGGTCAGAGGGGACAGCATCTCTGTTCACAGCCTTCCATCAGAAAGGCTGGCATGTTGAGACGAACTTGGAAGTTTGTATAACACAGGAAGCAAACATGTGGATGTTTACATAGACAACTCCCAACCTACAACTGAATTGTATTCTACCTGTGAAAAATTGAACTTAGAATTTATCACAGGCCAGAGAAACTCTGATGTGGAAGCTGGGTTGCCACCGTCGTTCTATATTCAATTATACTGAGTGATAAAGGGACTTTTGGGGCTGGATTATTTCCTGATCCCAAATTGATACTACAAGGCGCTGATCTGAGCCTAGACTCTAATTGCTTTATAGTATTATTGCTTCTATGTCCAAATGCTTCCAGTTCTGGTTGGGAAACCTAAGAATTTATTCCCTTCTTGAACTAGAGAGAGGTTCCTCAAGACTCTGAGGAGGAGGTCTGGAGAGCCAGCTAGGAACAGTGTTGAGGGCCAGAAGAGGGACACTCGCTGGGTGAAGCTGGGAAGCCTGGGTTAGCCCATGCTAAAGACAAGTCACCCATCTCAATACTGTGTAGCAAGAGGGCGCTGCATCTGCGTTTGTAGGATGGGTGAATCAAACCCCTTCCTAGTCTAGGGAGCCATCGGTGGTTTCCTTTGTGGCTCCTGTTCTCATTTGTGTAGTAGCTACTCTTTGTTGCTATGACAACTTGGTATTCTTAGAGATCATGAAACCCCCTGTGAAGAAAGGGAATCCCCAGGCCACAAGTCTGCCACAATTCTCAAATTCAAACCTTTTGCTCACAGCGCTGAAGGAAAGCAAGTTTTAGAACTGGGTTGTTTCCATGGCAACTTTTGAAGCCTTCTGGAAGCCCCAGATGTGCCAAAGCGGCCTGATGCCAGGCTTTTGTGGGGCGTGTACTCTGGGATGAGAACTGTCTTGAGCACTGTGGGTGGATGGGGGGGCAGCTAGTGCCCTTGTCAGGTCAGTGTGTAACTCTTTCAATATTCCTTCCTCTCCCTTAGGAGATGCTGGTGAGGCTGATCCCTGCCCCGTGTGGCCAAATAACCCTGGTCCATTTACTTAATTTTTAACTGGAAGAACACTGCCAGGCTTGCTCTATGGGCTTGATGAAACTATGCTAAGGGTGGACCTGGGTGCCAGGTTCGTTATTTTTATGAAAGGAGCCCTGAGCACCGTACAGGGAGGAAAGTTTCAGTGGTGTCAAGAAGCCGGGAGGAAGACACTGTCTCTTTCTGCGTCTCCCTGGCTGGCTTCCCCGCTGCCTTCCAGTCTTTAAGCAGGGAAGAAGAGAAAACCTTACGCTTTTGGGAATCAGGAAACGCAGGCGGAGGCGCGCCAGCACCTACCGTTGCCAAGAGGGACTGAAGCTCAATTTCCAGTGTCTGCATCGTGCGCTTCAGCTCCGTCAGCTCCGTCCTGGCCGAGGTGGCCGCACCCACGTCATTGGAGATTTGCTGCTGCAGCGTGGCGCTCTGCAAGGCAGAGCGCGGAAGGTCACCCTGAGCCTGGCCCGCTACAGCGGAGTGGACACCGCTGGTCCGGTCGCCTCACCTTTTCTTGGAACCAGGCCTCGGCGTCCCTGCGGTTCTGCTCAGCCAGGGCTTCGTACTCGCCTCGCATGTTGTTGAGCAGGACGGTGAGGTCCACCCCGGGCGCTGCGTTCATCTCCACGTTCACGTTGCCTCCCGCAGAGCACTGCAAAACCTTCATTTCCTAGAGGGAAAAGCGAGCGTAAGTTTAGGGCAACTGCGTGTCCAGTGCAGTCTGAGAAGAGTTTTCAGACACATGATCTCAGGTCCCCAAATTTGCAGAATAATGTATAATTTATGGCTCTCAATTTTTTAGCCAACTTATTTGGTCTATGTTCATTCCAATCATTCATCCACCCATCCATCCATCCACCCATCCACCCATCCATCCATCCATCCATCCATCCATCCATCCATCCATCCATCCATCCATCCATTCATCCACCCATCCATCCATCCACCCATCCACCCACCCACCCATCCATCCACCCACCCATCCATCCACCCATCCATCCATCCATCCATCCATCCATCCATCCATCCATTCATCCACCCATCCACCCATCCATCCACCCACCCACCCATCCATCCATCCTTCCATCCCATCTATCCATCCATCCGTCCATCCATGCATCTGTGCATCCATCTTTGTGTTTTGGAGACAGGCTCTCACTCTGTAGCCCAGACTGACCCGGAGCTTACTATGTAGTCCAGGCTGGCCCTTGAATGTGTGCCAATCCCTCTGCCTCAGTTGCCCAAGTGCTGATAACACAGGGATGAACCCCCAGACCAAGCCCAAACACATATTTAATTAATTATTTGTTTGTTAAGACACCATATCTGGGGCCAGTGAGAGGACTCAGTGGGCAAAGGTGCTTATTGCCAACCTTGATGACCTAAGCTTCATCCCAGGCACCCATCGGGTGGAAGGAGAGAACCAACTCCTGCAAGGAGGAGGAGGGGGAGGGGGAGGGGGCATTGTTTTGGAGATTTTTGCAATCACTTTGGGAACCATACATTCTCTGTCTCTCTGTCTCTGTCTCTGTCTCTGTCTCTGTCTCTCTCTATGTCCCCTACCCTCCCTGTCTGAGATTGAGTTGCTTGATATGAAGTGTTGAATAATGGTTTTATTATTGTGCAGTGTTCAACATTAAAACAAATTGGACTCACGAAGAAGTAGAGAAAACCACTACCATCTTTTCCTAGTCAGAGTGGTCTTTTATGAAGAGACTGACCTCAAGATTCGCTTATGTGGATGAACTAAAT